CCACACCGGGCCCTAATCTTGGTTTTGGCCCGCCACTGTAAAACGTTTAAAATATTCACTGTTTTATTGACAAAACTTTAACATACCTTCTACAAACTAGTTGATTGCAGAATTATCCTGTGATGCACTGGCACAAATCGGCGAAATCTTAAAAAAAACAAATAAAAAGACTTATTAATAATAATTCATGAGCATCCAAACACGACGGAAATCAGGTGGTTTGATATCTGACAAACTTTATGTAATATGTAATATGTAATATATATATATATATATATATATATATATATATATATATATATATATATATATATATATATATATATATATATATATATATATATATATATATATATATATATATATATATATATATATATATATATATATATATATATATACAGTACAGAGAATTAAGCAGTGTATACTCAAGCCGAAAGCGAGAAGTTGAAAATTGATGTAAATAACTTTTAAGGATTTCAACAGTTGTGATTTGAACTGAGAAAATCGAGGTAAAAGTTTTTGCAAATCGGGGAAAATTTTGTAAATGTGAAAAGACCTCGTGAGTTATACTTTTTAAAAAAATTTTCTTAATGAATTATTACGCCTGTATTCTAAAAGCTTACTCACACTCAAAGAGTGGAGGTTCAATCTGAGCTTCTCTTGAGTGTCAATGCTGTTTTTGAATAGCTGGAGGGTGAGTAGTCACATAGGTATGGCACTAACCCTCAAGCTATTCAAAAACAGCATTGACACTCGACAGAAGCTCAGATTGAACCTCCACTCAATAGGGTCATTTATACGGGACAAAATAAGTCGCGACTTAGATAAGACGCGACTTAAATAAGCGGAGTTATCGCATAAATGGTTCTCTACGGCTTTGGTCTTATTTACTTGCTATAGCTATAATGTTGTTTTGGTTGTTTTTGTTTTAATATGCAAGGCTAATAATTTTACGTTGTTTCAAGTCTCTGGCATGTGTAGTTAGACTTTTTGTCCAAAATTTCTTATTTAAGACGTGACTTAAGGTTACAGGACACCTTTTTTGGCGTTTTGCGGAAAATCGCTACTGCGCGCTCAATATCAGTCCGATTTTCATCAAATTTTCACCAAATGTTCTTCAGTGCATGCAAAATATGGTAAAGTTGTGAAAATTAACAAGCAATAAAATAATGTAAGAATTATTCAGGAAAATCTTAAGTCGCGGTACCGTTACGCTTTTGAGTTATGTTCCTGCTGGTTTTAAGTTATATTTATGAAAATATCATTTTTATACAGTAAAATAGTTGTTCTAAAAAATTGTGTTCGGAAATTTTTGTTTATTTCGTCATTCCGCTGATATGGCGATTTCTTTGACGACTGCAATATATTTCTGAATTGTTTGAGTGAATTGCTCTTTATTTTTAAAATATCCAAAATAAAAAAAAAGCCGAACACAATTTTGAAACTGACGTATTTAGCTATGCCCTGTGAAAATTTGAGAAAAATTGGTTAAAACCCGCAGGAGCATAACTCGTTTGAAAATCAGTAATTAGCGTAAAATGTTTCGTGAGAAAATTGAATTTAAACATTACATTTTCAATGTTTTTCTTATTGCAGCGAAATGCATTTTATTAAATAACTCTGCGAGTTTTCAACATTTTTCGTTCAAACTTGGTCAGATAGTAGAACTAGTCTAATGCTTTCATTGAAACCAATAAAAAAATTTTAGGCAAAATTAACACTCAAAGGTGTTCTGTAACCTTAAATAAGAACTGCTAAAAGACCTGTTCTTATGTAAGACGCGTCTTACATAAGAATTTTGTACCTTTTATAGGACAAACTCGCGTCTTACTTAAGTCGCGTCTTATGTAAGTAGCGTCTTATTTTGTTCCGTATAAATGGCCCTATTGAGTATGAGTGAGCTTTTAGAATACGGGCGTTAAACTTGTATGTCTGTATCATACCCATCCTCGGTCCCAGGGCCTCACGGCTGACGTGAGGCCCTGGGACCGAGGATGTTTCATATACCTGGAGGTGCACTGGCGCAAACATTTTTCACGATGTTCATCACTTGTTGAATCGCAGCACCTAGGTTGAAACCACCACCGAAGAGGAAACGTTTATCTTCCGATGTCATGCTGCAAATAAAATTAGCAAAACAATTACTGGTCCACTATATAAAGCGCAGACGAACTATTTAAGTTAAAACATAGTTTGAACATGGATAATAAAATAACTGGATAGGAAACTTCTGACGTCATTGACTGCATCCTTGTTGAAAAACGTGACATCACGCGTATTGCGAATGTTACGAAAGTTCTCGGCATATTTGTTGTTTTGCTATATTTTCCACTTTAAAAGGGTGATCTTGAAGTGTAAACTGGTCTAATTGTTTTAAAAACATGCCTAAGCCACGACAAAGTATTCAAGGTAAATGTTTTTCGTCTTTGTTTTGTATTTTTTTTTACATTTGTAGCTACGAAATTGGCGTCACAAATTTTAACGAAATTTGCGATGTATTTTTCACTGTTTAGTGCTTGAAATATTTGCTAAAATTGACTGGGAATACTTAGAGTTTTCATCGTAGAATGGCGTGGTTACATTTATTTGCTCTTTGACTAAAATGTTTAGCTGTATTATTGCTAAACATGCCGTTTTTAAGAATTTGGTTTTCAACTAGGTTGAGGCACAGAATAGATACAGAACCAGAAGCACAGAATACTAAACAGAAGTGTATCCTCCATTGCTTTTTGCGTAAGCGCTATTCGTCATGATTCGTCACTCAGCAAGTGCCGTAAACAGAAGCAGTCTCCCCCCTGGAAATACTAAAAATGGGCGCACGTCCAGGGGGTGACTGCTTCTGTTTACGGTACTTGCTGAGTGACGAATCATGACGAATAGCGCTTACGCAAAAAACAATGGAGATACACTTCTGTATAGTATTCTGTGCCAGAAGTGTCACTCAGACGATATTTTGTCCGAAATTTTACGAGTGCTGACGTGAAATACGCCATCATATGACGCCATCCTGGAGTGCACACGGAAGTTTTTCATAAGAAAACATAAGTACAAAGTGCCGTGTGCACTCCAGGATAGCGTCATAGCACGTAAAAAAAAATTTCCGGACGTTTTCCTTCAGCCAAAACAAATAGGAGTGACACTTCTGGTCCAGTATCTATTCTGTGATTGAGGCATCCAACCACGCCATCAATCCCAGTAAAAACATTAGGTCACGTCAGCTAGTTTCCTATCCATTTATTTTATTATCCATGGTTTGAACACTCATGCATAAAACCTTTATTTTGTTAATCTATATAGAGATTAAAATGTCCCCTGTAACAATTGCGTGCATGACTGCTAACGCTTAGCGCTGCACCGGAATCGTAGAGCCCAAAAAATCTCGCAATGCGTCTTTACCTTTCATCCCCGAAGATACCAAGAATACCACCAAGATTACCAGCAGCATTCAAGCAAGTGCATGCTCTCCCGATCAAGGGGTCGACAGCTGAAAATTATATCCATAAAATAAATAAATCATAAATGCTAGATAAATTGTAAAGCCCTGGGCAAACTTTAGTAAAATTGTTGCGGAAATTGCATTGTTTCTCACTGGAAAAAATAATGAAATCCATACTTTGAAATTTGCAATTGCATCACTATAATACTGTAAATCCATAGTTATATCCATACTATAATATCCATATTCATCACAGCTTGAAAGAGCATCACAAAATTAGTAATATTCCAAAGTTTCGTTACAAAATGTTATAAAATGCGGATAATATAGCCTTGTGAAGTTTGCAATTTTCAGTCATTTTAGATTACAAACGGGAAACGGTTACCACTTCTTTGCGTAATCTAAAATGACTAAAAATCACAAATTTCGCAAGGCTATATTATCCGCATTTTACAACATTTTGCAAACGAAACTTTGGAATACTGCTAATTTTGTGATGCTCTTTCAAGCTGTGATGAAATTTTTGTTTAGACTACTTAATACCAAAATTTTGGAAAAGTGGTAACCATTTCTCGTTTGTAATCTAAAATGACTGAAAATTGCAAATTTCGCAAGGCTATATTACCGCATTTTATAACATTTCCCAACGAAACTTTGGTGGAATATTACTAATTTTGTGATGCTCTTTCATGCTATAATGGAATTTTGTCTAGACCTGTTGAGATCAAAATTTTGGTTAATTGGGGAATGGTCCATTATAGTATGAAAGTTTGATTTCCTTATACTATTTTCAGCGAAGATCCACACTATTTCCATTAGTAAGGATTTAAAAAAAAATTCAAGTGTCTGTAGCCAGGTGGTAAACCAGGAACCATCGTTTCCTTTCCATGCATGCAAACTTATATATAGCAACTATATATTGATAAAACATAACTGAACATAAGTTCTTTGTAGGATTGCATGGCGATAAAACATATAAGACTTTTTGTTTGTGGGAACATCAAATACCTGGCGTAAAACACATATTATTAACACTGATGAAGAACCTGGCTTACGGATCGAAAGCTTAATTTGCAGTAATAAATTTACATGGTGTTTCCACAAACAAAAAGTATTATAAAGGAACATTTCCTAAGTTAGCCATGCTTTACGAATCTTAAAGATTAAGTACACCTTGAATCTTAAATTTGTACTAGTTCAAGAACGCAAAAATAACCATTGGAGTATACCACCCTGATTTGAAACACAAAATTCCTGAACAATTTAATTTAAGTTTAATCTTACGTTGGCCAGAATTTGTGATGCCATTACATGCGCCTTGGGCCAATTTGAAAGCACCAATCAAGAACGGGTTGAATCTTTTTTCCCTGAAATTAAATATATCGTCAAAGGTGGGAAAAACTTGGAATTAAGATACCAATCTCACGTTATGCAGGTAAGGGTGGAAGGGGGAGCCAAAGAGCTGAATTGCAAACGTCACAACTCAAATTTGATCTGGTCGACAGTTTAGTAGGGAGCCTCTGTCACAAAGAGCTAATATATCAATTACACAGGCTAGAATGTTTGATTAACCGAAACCAGAGGCTCATGATAACCGATCGTGCATGGCAAATTCGCGGCAAACTTCAAAATCTCTCTGTAGAGATGGCTTCGCCACACACAATTGGGCGAGGTCGTCCCGCTTCGCCTTCTTCCCCCCAAACGTATCCATGACAGAATGACTACAAGTGTTAATTCTAACCTGCTGTCTTCCTCAACAGGCATTGCCTGGGAGATAGCAAACAAGCCAAAGATCACAGCAATTGCAAAGTATTTCATCGTTGTATAACGTTGACCAACCTTTTCAAATGTTTCAAAATACGATTTCGTGAACGCTCCAAGGAACTTAACTGTACAACCCTTCGGAGGTTGTATTTATACGTTATCCAACCCCTTGCAACGTTCTCCAATCTTATTGGTCCTTTCATGTGCGTACACAACGCACAACGTTACATTTTCTACAAAGAGGTTCTGTTAAAACAAAATTAATTGAAAGTTAATGACCACAAATTGTTGTATGTACAGACTTATAAATATTTTTGCACCTTGCTTTTTGAATAAACACAATATATACTTTAACTGTAATTGATGATTGATCGTTAAAGTTAAGGTGAATTTTTTCTCCTGTCCCCGACCAATTACCAACTAGACCTGAGCTGGTACTCATTAATCACAGACTGGTGAAACTTCCAGATAACAGTTGGCAAGCCATCTGAAAATCTGAACTGGGTGGCACAGGCAGCGACGAGATTTACCGCCAGTTACCTTCTGCGAATATAACTGGATTACAAAATTTTTTCCAGCAGACGCTTTCTTAAAATGATTCTGAAAGCCCCTGGTGGCAAAAAGGATATAAAGATATGGTTCAAAATTAAACTCAGAGTTCGCTTTAAATTTAGGGTTCATCCCAAACGGGCAAGTTTTTCTTGATAGTGAGTTTAAGATACCCCCGGTTTCGGTGTACGGGTAGCACGATTTTGGTTAGCAATATTTTCGTCGATGTCTGTACCTTTACTCGTAATTAAGGTGCACATTTTTCGCATTATATCATTGTCTATTGCAAGACAACTGAAAAAGTATGATCGAATTACAGACATCAGTAAAAACTAGTAAACAAGATGACACTACTCGTACCCGTACACCGAAACCGGGGTACCTTCTCGTGTCACGGTCAACAAAGTTTTCCTTGACAGTTTCTCTTGACAAGTCTTGTTGCTTCTGTGTGCACGGAATGTTGTCAAACATTTATCTCACTCCAAGGCCGCTTTTTGTTTGCCAAAACCAGATAAATATTTCTTGTACACTTTCAAGTTTTCCTTGGCAGCCGTCACACGAACAAATTTTCCTTGTCCAAATACTGGTATGACTAGTTTTGGAACAAGGCTCCTTGCCTTGGCAAGGAAAAGTTGTCAATTTTTTGCCTTACACACAAGCAAACAAAATTTGTCAAGGAAAAATTATTTGTCTGTAAGGGGCTTTAATGTTAGGGTTAGGTTCAGGGTAAGGTTTAAGATTGTTATAAGGTGCTTGATTGTTGATTCTTTTTTGTCTGAACGCGATCTTGAAACACAGCCGCCATCTTGAAAACCTTCATCTTGTCCATGACTATTGGCTAACATTAGTACTCCAGTTATATAGAGAGCTTGTTGGCTGACCTCAACTTATATTTCAGATACGTTTTTTTTTATTTCATATGTTTATAATATATCATATAGACATAGTTGAAAAACATACATCAAAATCACATAAAAAGCTAAATGTAAGCAATTCCGAATGATTATTCCAGAACAGGTTTGTTTGAACAGGCATACAAATATATAGTGACTTTTGCAATATTCCAATTAAAATATTGCAGGAAATTATTATTAAAAATAAATACGTTTAAAGCACGATTAAGCAAATTATAAAACTAGAATGATTTGACCTACATAATTTTTTGTGCTTTGTACTAAAAAATTGTCAAAGAATTGCCATTAAAAATTTCTGGTTAATAATTCACCTAACACAATCTGGTTAATTCAACCCTATAGCCTGGTTAAATCAACCAGAAATCCTGGATAGCTTAGCCACGGTAGTGCATGATCAAATGAACCAGCACTGTGCTTAAATTACTCCGAACAGTGTTAATTTTAGATTAATCAGGACATTTTTAACCATGAGATAATTTGCATGAGTAATAAGTAATGATCTTATACTGGACCTCTATAGCTGGGCAACACAGTTTAGAACTCCACTATGAACTTTGTTTAGTTTACATGGCTGAAATCTGTCATTTTTCCTATTAGTATACTATTGTACATAGAAAATCGATGATTAAACTGCTCCAATGTTTGTTTGGACTTCACTTAAGTTTTAATATTTCTTTGCTAACAATAAAACCAAATATCTATAATCACTGAAATTAACCAATTCGGCGTTCTTTAGATAGTTGCGACTTGAATTATTACATGTTAACAATGTTTGCCTTTGAAAATTGACGCATTGTAAAAGTTTAATCATTATAATATACCACACTGCAACTGTGTAAACTGGTTCGTTTGCATATATATGTAGGCTTCGAATAATTATTGACTATTGTATGTTGCCTTGGAAAATCAAGGATATTAAAATTTGAAGTTTGACCATTCAAATTTGCTACAAGCTTTTCAAACAAAATTCTTAAAGAGTCACCTCAAAAGGTATTAAAATTTCAAAAAGTTTGACCATTCAAATTTACTACGATTGTAAGGTTTTTTAAGCAAAATTATTTTAAAAACGTCACCTCAAAAGGTATTAAAAGTTCATGTTGTAAGCCGCCTACAAAACTGCTTTCTCGTATGACGGTTTGTCATTTGTACACCGTTATAATTCGCACCTTGTTCGAGGCAATGGATTTTCGTTGGTTTTTTTTTCAATATTGGAGTTACGGTAAAGCCTTTTTCCAATATAGGAAGAGCTTTGTTTGCACATAAAAATAATGAAGTATATTTGTACTTACAAGTCTTGCACACAGCCCGTCGTTTCGTCAATCTATTTCTTCATATAAATAATCTTATAATACATTTAAAATATAAATATGATTATATCTATATATATAGTAATATTATCTTTCATATTGTACGTAAAGATTTAAACAGGGCTTGGATTAACGGTCGATCAACGGTCGGGTTGCAATGAAATCATTTTAGCCATTCCGCAATTCTAATCAAATTCAAATGGGCAAATTCAAACCAGGGGCATACTTCCTTAGGGGTGTGGGTGGGGACCCCCCCCCCCCAATGTTGTAATATTGCAGTTTGTCGGGCAATTTCAGCAATTTTAACGACACGCTCGTCGGGCAAAAAATATGTAATTGAGCAAAAAACTTTACATACTTTTTTGAAAAGTAATAGTTGTAAAAAATTCTGTTATAAATTCGCGAAAATATTACCGAAAAATTGTACAAATTTCGGTAAGTTAGTGAAAAATGGTATGTGCGAAAATTTCTTCTCTCACCCAGCCGACAATTTTGGGAAAAGAAATATTAATTAGCGAATGAAATGTCCGTCGGGCACGACTTCCGGACACGACGGAAGCTCACCCCCCAGCCGTAATACTCAAGTCACGGTCCTGATTCGAACCATTATTCCATGCCCTGCCAACCGCAACACAAGCCGTGAATGTCAACACTAACTTTTTCCACACTAATGCCTGCATGTGTATGTCTTTGCATGCGTCAAGCGTTCAAATATATAAAACAGGCATATATAGTTTCTGTACGTTTTCACTGTGGCACGCAATTTCATTCTATACATCTGTACATAATTTACATGGTCATAATTTAACACAACTCACGGCAACCATGAGATAATTTTTCATAACTTGATTGATCATTTAGTCTTTTTCAGCAGCATTATGTGTCGAGTTGCGTGTCGATCTGGAAAAAAATCGGCAATAAGCTGCTGTGGTTTGTGTCTGAACTGCCTGAAGAACATATCTCAAACGTGGTGGTCCAGTGTAGGTAGTATTCTACAATAAGCTGTCGTAGTTTGTGTCTGAACTATCTGAAGAAGATATATCTCAAACATGGTGGTCCAGTGTAGGTAGTATTCTACAATAAGCTGCCGTGGTTTGTGTCTGAACTACCTGAAGAAAATATCTCAAACGTGGTGGTCCAGTGTAGGTAGTATTCTACGATAAGCTGTCGTGGTTTGTGTCTGAACTACCTGAAAAAGATATCACAAACGTGGTGGTCCAGTGTAGATAGTAATCTACAATACGCTGCTGTAGTTTGTGTCTGAACTACCTGAAGAAGATATCTCAAACGTGGTGGTCCAGTGTAGGTAGTATTCTACAATAAGCTGCTGTAGTTTGTGTCTGAACTACCTGAAGAAGATATCTCAAACGTGGTGGTCCAGTGTACGTGGGAACACTCACCTACGCTTATAATGAACATCTCGCACAGACGTCCTTTTTGGAGTCTTAAAATTATGGTCTTCCTTAAGATGAGTCACATCTAAAAATAATGATACATGTTAATAAATACTAGTTAAATTTCCATCGTCACTTTATCTCATTTCCTACCACAGCCCGGTTAATGCAGGAATAAGGGTTGCTGAATGGGCGCTGTATCAGTGTATCGTCACTGACGAAGCTGTAGTAGTATGTAGGGGGGGGGGGGGCAATCCCAGGTCGGAGTGAATCTTCTATTCCAAGTTTACCAAAAATTCTCTGGTTTACTAACCTTCACACGAAGACGAAAATATGGTATCTAGTGATCCAAAATCTTCTCTGGATTTTGACTTGGGTCTGGAAACAGAGGATAACAAGCATTCGACTTCCTATAAATACGATCTATTTAACACGGCAGAAATAATTGTGTAAATTTTAGGATACAGACTGTATACAAATTAGAATACCTTGATAAAAACGAAGTACTATTATTCCTGTTCCGTTTTCCAGCTAGATGTGGAGTTGATATTTGATTAAGACTCTACAAGGAGAAAGAAGGCGAAATGTTATGATTCTTGAAATAAAATAGCAGAAAGGTTTGTTGCGATATTAATATATGTGATTGTTTAAAAAGTATATAAAATATTAAAATACAAAATATGAAAGAAAACGAAGAATTTAATTTACACACCTCCAAGAGTCTTGCAGATAGATTACTGGCATCTTGTGTATCTTTCTATAAAGCAATGACAACACTTTGAAAACTTTTTATTTTCTTTCATATACAAAGAAAGAAGACAATAGTTCTACTGTCATACATTATTTCCTCAGACTTAGTGAAAATATTCCTGTATTTAGGACAGCCGTCTTCTTTCTCAACAGCTAAACTTACTTTTTGTTCCTCAGCTGTAGTTTTAGCGTCGTTCAACTCGCGCGTCAACAACTTTACTTGTTCTTGAAATCTGGGAATTGAAAAGTACAAACCAGAAATCAACCATGCAGCACTAGTTGTTTTTTGTTTGTTTGTTTGTTTGTTTGTTTGTTTGTTTGTTTGTTTGTTTGTTTGTTTGTTTGTTTGTTTGTTTGTTTGTTTGTTTGTTTGTTTGTTTGTTTGTTTGTTTGTTTGTTTGTTTGTTTGTTGGATTGCGAACCAATAGAAGACAACTTTAATTTACCTTGCATATTTATAATGAATGCGGTCTCGTTCTTCTTGATCACCCTATGATAATAAACATAGATAGTATATAATACTATATGTGAAGTCAACTGACCATTACCAGTCAAAAACATTATTTTGTATAACACTGTGGTGTCAGGTACCCTGAAATTATACAATTCATCGAGAAGTTTCTGATTGTCAACAAGTGCAACCATGCTGTTCTGCAATGCCTCAGTCGCCTAGATAAAGCAAAAACAATAAATATTTCGAGACAGCAACATTTTCAAAAAGGATAAAAACATGATGAGAGGTTAAAACTCTTGTAAACTAAACTGTTCTCCCTAGAGTTCTAATAAGGGATATTCCTTATCGATTAAGTAGGGAGGTTCAGATTTGACTTGCAACACCACCATTAAACACCACGTTTCATCTATCCAATTAACCAATCAGACACGTTTAATCTATCCAATTAACCAATCAGACACGTTTAATCTATCCAATTAACCAATCAGATACGTTTAATCTACCCGATTAACCAATCAGATACGTTTGATATATCCGATTAACCAATCAGATACGTTTAATCTATCCGATTAACCAATCAGATACGTTTAATCTACCCGATTAACCAATCAGATACGTTTACAGTAATCTATCCGATTAACCAATCAGATACGTTTAATCTATCCGATTAACCAATCAGATACGTTTAATCTACCCAATTAACCAATCAGATAGAGAAAGGTAGCGGAAATGGAAGTCATATCTGAACCCTCTTAATGTTACTACAGAATGAAACTTGGCTTCAACATTTTTCGGTGAACACCTATCTACTCCACCTTTCTACCTTTTAAGAAAGTATAGCTCCACTGCTCTGTCAAGCTACAGCACATCGTACTTACATCGTCCAGACTTTTAGTAAGTTTCGAAATCTTCCTCTGGAGGGCTGCAATCCTCTCTTGGTTTTCCCGCGCTTTTTCTTCCAAATCTAACAAAAAATATGGTGCACAAAAGATAATTTTCTTCTTTGGTGCGAGAAAGTTCAGTGATGATACAGGTATTATACAACTAATGTTTCTTCGGGACAAACCTTTATTTTTGCGTGAGATGTCTTTCAAGGTTGCATTCTGTTTTTCAAGTTCGGTTATATAATACACTTTGTCAGCATCGGCTTTCTCGAACGTGTCCTACACAACACAACAACAAACGCTTGAACTTACTTCTAAAGAGTAAAGTGAAGCAGATATACGGACGAAAGTAAAACGTCTACTGTTGCTTGTAAGCAAAACTACGCAAAGCTACAGTGGCACATATCCAGTATCAAGCAGTGCACACTACAATTGTCATGGAATTGCAAAGGTTGCGGATTCGATTCTCACCGTGGTCAGGCAAACTTTTCAGCTTGCCCGGTGTGGATGCACACTCAGAGTAACATCACAAACATCACATACGAGAAATCATCATATACGTTGAATTTAAACGTATATTTTATTTCTTGCTTTTCCCACTATCTACATTGCATGCAATAACAAACCCATTGTCTCCTACGGTTTCATATTATGTTAATCATGAGAGGGGTGTATCTACAACACTACAATATATTGCTGTAAATTGTTGTCACTATAGCTATGGTTGAGGTGCATGGAAATGTGCACCCCCGTTAAAATCTGTAGCCCTCTGAGATTAGCCTTGACCCCCCGCCCCTTTTAGTTCTAACCTTCTTTTCATCAGTAACACGATTCAAGGAGTGATGACATCTTCGAATTTCAGTCTCCAGTTCGGTTATCCTGTTGAAGCAATTGAGAATGTGGTGCTATATTTTTGAGATTCGTCATTCATTTCAGTGAAGAAGTTCTCAATGAATGTCAGTTGACAGCTATAATTCTAATTTTCAGCTGTCAGTCAGCTGGCTGTTAAGATATTTTGTTGGTTGTCAGTCAAAAATACGGGGAAATGTGAACTGTCAGCGCACATATAAGCAGTTCATGGGTTACTTTAACCAATGTTGAAATAATCCTCCTCCCCTCTGGTAAATCCATCTCCACCATTCAGGCCCTCAATTAACGAATAAAATTATTCAATATAATGTACGTAAAAGGCTCTACCTAGTTTTGTCTTGCTCTCTTAGTTCGTCCTAAAAATATGAATGGAAAAAACAAGTATGAGCTGCAATGGGATGCGCATCAGGCCAATATTTTTATTTAGTGTATATAAGTCTCCTAAACTAAGCAAACTCTTCAGCTTTGTCATTTTAAAGTGACCTTCGGGATTTTCTCCCCATGTAAATACTTGATGTCATTACCTTCCTTTCAATATCATGTTGTAGCTCATCATAGTTCTGTCTCAAGCGAGTTTTCTCTTCTGTAAGTCTGGAATGAAAGTATAAATAGATGGGGGTGTAAGTACAATATAGTTGTGCTTCCATCCAACTGTTCTACTTGGTGATCCAGTAAAGGTCATCCCCCATTGGTCAAGTTCAGCCGCCAAAAACATGCGATGTTGGCCAAACTGGAAGTACTGTTCTAACATGAAACTGATGTGAAATTACAATCAGATGTACAGTAGGTACATGTAAGGATTGAATGCAGTCCCAGGGGTGAAAAACACATACCCCATGCCTGTATATTTAGGGTTTTTTTCAGGCAGTCAAAATAATTTTCAGTTAGCCCTGCGTGGTCCAAACTTGCTCGCTTCGCTTAAAGCTTGCAAATTAGCGACAGGGCACCAAGCACCGAAGAAATTTTTTTGAGTTGTGTTTCACATTGTCAAAATTGAGTGTCCACTATTTGCTCAAACCCAACTGGTCGAAAATTTTCATATATCAAGCCGAAAACGGAGTTCTGGCTTTTGAAAACAGAGTTCTGACTTTTGAAAACGGAGCTCTGGCATTTGAAAACTGAGTTTTGGCATTTGAAAACGGAGTTTTGGTATTTGAAAACGGAGTTGTGGCTTTTGAAAACGGAGATCTGACAAATAGACAGGCAAACAAACAGACAATCAAACAAACAAAAAGACAGATAGGTTGACATATAGATACCCTGATCACTGTAATATCAATACCCCCACACTAGATTCTGTATACCTGTTTATCTGCGTTCGCATATTTTCAATTTCTTTGCCATCTTTTTCCTGTTGTTTACGTAGTGCTTTAACAGTCGACTTCTCGTCTGCAAGTTGCAGCTGAAAAACATTTTAACATCATGAAAATAAAATACTGATGGACGGAAACAGTAAATTCTGGAGATACCTTTGTGTCAGCTAATTTCTCTTCAAATTCTTCTTTTTGTTTTTCTAAACGTCTTTGGCCTTCCTGTATCTCGTCAACACTTTCAGCCTTAAAAAATTTCGATCAATTCCCCGCCTCAATTTTTGGCAAATATTTTAACTAAATGTACAGTATACAGGACGAATATCGGAATATACTGAAGAAGAGACGAACAAACTGTGTACAAGAAGATGCAAATATCAAGGAACTGCGGTGGACATGGCATGAGACAGAGAAGGATGAGAATCCGAGCAACCGACCTCGTCTCCGTCTGAAATTAGAGCTGGGTGAAAGATTTAAATATCAATGAGGTGATTGGGGACATGATAGGGGACAGACACTAATGAAGGCCAGGAATCCTAGCAGTAAACCTCAGGTGAGTCTGAGACCACAGCTAAGTAAAAGAAGATGGAACTGAGGGTGGACACGAGAAAGAAAAGAAACCAAATGGGGCACAAGAATCCGAGCTGCAGTCACTTTGGTATCACGGCTGGAAAAAGATCAATATAGAAAAGATAAATATTAATATACGATATCTACTCACTCGAGTTTTTGCCATTTTTTCTTCCGCATCCTTGACTGCTAAATTACACTCTTCCCTTTCCTAATTAGAAAACATTTCATGTATGTCAGAAAGAAGAAAAGAATGTTGGAATAGAAACACGTACAGTAGTCTATTTAAGATCTTACACGCTGTAGTTGTCGATATAATGACGCTACTTCATCCTTGCATTTTGCTTGTTCTTCTTGAGCTACGTCGACAGCATTCTCCAGTTTCTATGAAAATATACACTTTTCAAAATAACAGGATAATCTAGTATAAATAAAGTTAGTTTAGTTTAGGTTTCCTCTTGTTGCAACACTGGAACAATAAGAGATGAACCTTACTGGATTCCTAGGAAGAACAGTTTAGAACTGATAGAGCTATCCAGTATAAATAAAGTTACTTTAATTTAGGTTTCCTCTTGTTGTAACACTGGATCAATACAAGATGATCTTACTGGAACTCTAGGAAGAACAGTTTAGAACTAATAGAGCTATCCAGTATAAATAAAGTTAGTTTAGTTTAGGTTTTCTCTTGTTGTAACACTGGATCAATAAGAGATGACCCTTACTGGACTTCTAGGGAGAACGTTTCAGAAATGATATAGTGCGAGCAATCCAGTATAAACAAGTTAGTTTTGTTTAGTTGGTAGTTAAAGCAAGATAGTATTCTGTAGCTGCATATCCAAGTTCCATTCAAGCAAAGCTTGACATACCTCACGTAAAGTTTGCTCTTCTTTCAACTTAATTTCCAGACGAGACTTCTTGCTAGCTATATCTCGAATTCCTTCCTTCAATTCTTCATTGGAATGCGAGGTCGCCTCGTCCAATCTCTCCATCTTCTAAGTTAAGGAATCGATCAAAGCAATCTTGGTTATACACTGGATAACAGTCTTACGTTGAAAGGTTGCTTTGATAAGGCTTATAAAAAGTGCTGCAATCGCCTCAAGCTCTTATCAAAATTAAGACATCATGTAAGCTCGGACGCTGCAAATAGGATATATCAGTCTATGATTCTCCCAGTTGTTACGTACTCTGGGCTTTTGAAACTTCAGTTCACGAAGACCCAGTCGGACAGGTTTCAATCAATTGAACGTCGCGCGGAAAACATCATTGCTCCTGACGAACATGTCTTGTGCATTCAATGCTTTTTTGTGTACTGAAATGTTTTACCCTCTGTAAAGATTTTTTTGTAATAATAATAAGGTATATATATATATATATATATATATACAGGGTGTATCAAAATAAACGCAATTCATCTTTTGTGCTTAATAACTTTCGAAATACTATTTCTAGTTAAACGCTTTTAGGCTTACTTCAAAGCCTGTTCTTTTCTCTTTCAAACAAACTATTATCCTTGTCTCCAGTGCTAGTAATAATTGCACAGGAAAAGATTTAGTAAAACCTATCATTTTTAGATGCTGTTTAAATATGTAAGTTTACTATGTTATTGTTTAGTCGGTTTAAATGTTAGAATTTTCTTCTTTAATTTAAACTTTAATGTTGTCGTCACTACATCTGGAAAACCTCGTAAGAACAAATTAAAAGTATTTTAAAAGAGACCAGGTTGTTTGAAAATCCTAAACGAATGCTAAAAATCATAGAATCAAAACATTCTGGTGTCTGAGCCAGAGTGTCATCGAATTGCGATGTAATGTAAACAGAAATTATAGCAAGCTGATGTCAGTCAGCTTAGATGGTCCAAGGCCAAATTATATCGCATTTGAAGTTTCAAACTGTGTTAAAAATAGTGGAAGAAAAGCCGTAATTATACTTATTGTTACAATCCATTTAATAAAATGCAACATTTTTTTGTTTTAATGAAAAAATCAGTTATTTTCATGAGAACGATTTGTTATTCCATCTCACTTTTTTTAATCTCCAATCGCAATAACGTAAAGTATTATTACCCGCGAACCAATGAGTCAAATTTAAGAAACAACCCACTGTTAGAAAGCTGAATGGCTACGCTTTAAAATGAATGTAAACTTTAATGTTTTCGCCTATTATTTGTTTAGCACTTTACATTTCAGTCGAGGATTGCGCTT